AAAATCCTGTAGAGCAAAGGTTAAATGCTCTTTGTGAATAATTTAAAAGAGATGAGTGTTGTTGAAAAAAGGAAGCCAATAAAAATTGATTTTCCTGATGAACCATTATACACAGAAAGAAATATTAGAAATTTGACTCCAAGCTGGATCACTTCCAGCATCATGTAGAGGACAACACCAAAAAGACCATTTGAATTATTGATGATGAAAACATGGTTAAGAATCATAACAGAAAGAAGTTTAAAATTTTTTGCTGATAAATCTCTTGCAGATAATATTCAATTAGCTCAAGTATTGCATTATGTTGGTTAGAGATTTTAGGTTATAAGTATCAACACACCAAGGTGTTTATTTTGATGGGTGATGTTGTAAAATATTCCTTGAAAAAATGGCTGATTTGAAAATTTATGACAACTTATGAAGATGATTCAATGGAAGGAAAACTGCCTGTTTTAGGCGAAAGAAAAAAGTGCAAATATTAGTTACTCATGGTGAAAGTCTAATGATTCAAGAGGTGTCTTGGCAAAAAATGAAGAGCTTCCTTTAAGAAAAAAAGGAATGGAAAGTCAATCATGTAGCGCAAATTGGTTTGGTGATTTTGATGGTAGAAAGTAGAAATTAATTACAGCATTCACTATTAAAAACATAAGTGTAATACCCCTTTATGACATGCATCTGGAAAATATAAAAAAATTTTACACATGTCAATTGTAAGTTTAATAATAAAAAAGTGTAAAATTTATGTCGGCACTGTAAGATTTACACAATATTACGTCGGCATCGTAAGATTTATGCAAGTTTACACTAAATTAATTTCCTGATGTGTGTGACCCCTTTTATGACAGTGTCAAAATATTTGATAACAGTTCTAACCATGGTATTTATGCTGAAGATGCTTTGTTGAGAGTTAAATGCTCTTGGGTGATGGAAGTGCAAAAAAATGTATTATATGCGACCTACTTTTATGGTTCAATTGATGGTGTTTCCAAATTATTATAAAATATAGCACTTTGAGGGTATGAAAACGGTCTTAACTGAAAGAGGATTGTAGAAAGAAAAATTGCTGGCTGATTTGCAAGTCATGTAAAGAAAAGGTAGTTGATGATAATAGAATTGATTGCTGTGCATGAAGAATTATTTCTTTGCAATCAGGCTTTACAAAAAAGCCTCTTAGAAGAAATTGTTGAAAAAGTTGGGCATAAAATCTTTTTTTATCCTAAATTCCATTGTGAACTTGATTACATTGAAAGGTATTGGGGAGCTACAAAAAGACAAATTTGACTATATTGTAACTATTCTTGATCTGGTTTACAATCAGTAGCTCCTAATGCTCTATATTCAGTTGATACAATTAAAATTAGAATATTTGCAAGAAAATCATTTAGATATGGGGCATGCTGCAACAAAACCAGACAAAGTGAACATTGGTATTACCAAGGATTTCAGGGATCAATATCGTTTTTTAACATCACAATTATATTATCATGTAATGTGATCATGATATTTGTCTAGACAAAAATAGTTAATATGAAACTCATTTAAATAAGGTCTACTATGGAACCCAAGAATTACAGCACCATTAGAAGTATTTTGAAAAAAGAACAAGGTGAGAAAATTGCTACTTACATTTTTAAATTAGCAGATACCAAATCTTGGTAAACATATTTAGACAAAGGAAGGATTACCTATGAAATTTATCAAGAGGAAAGAGTTTTCAAAAGAGTATTAGAGAATTCTAGTAAAGAATCAAGAAAAAAAAGAAAACTGGCAGAATAACTTGATAAAACAAATAATTACTTTTTTTTCAACTTTGTTAATTTTTTAATTACCTTTTATTTTCAATCAAGATCATCTTTTAGTCTCTTTAACTTCAATTTGAGCAACTAATTGACCATTTTGCTGTTGTAATTGGGTTAATTGAAATTTTAAATCATTAATTTCTTTTATTAATTCTTGGGAGTTAACTCTTTTAGTTGCTTATTTTCCTCTTCTAAATGCTTAGTCCTATCCAATAACTCTTGCTTTTGTCTTTTATGCCAATCCTCAGCCACTCCCAAAGCCTTTAAATAAGTTTCTACTTCCTCAGTTAGTTGATTTTTTCTTCCCTCAAACATTTATTTGTGTTTCATAAAAAAATGCCATTTCCCCATTTTGGTGAGGCAAAAGAGGAAGTTATTTTTCATTTTTCTCTTCTTTACAATCACAAGTGTATTTAGACTTTGGCCTTCCACAACTACATTTAGGTAACTCATCATTTTCAAACTTCTCTTTGCAATTCTTGCAAGCCTTATCACTTTCAACAATTTTACCATTTGTTTTGCTTTGCATTCTGATTTGACAAACTGCTTTTATCAAACCAGCGCAAAAAACACAAGTAGAATTACTGCTATGTCATTCTTCTAACTCTAAGATCATGTAGAGTAGCTCTTTCATTATTACTTAGTTCTTCTCTTTCTTTTGCTTCATCCTCAAATCTCTGATCATTCTTTCTTAACATTTATAATTTTTGGGCTAATTCTTCTTATAACTTTTCATTCTTTATATTTCATCTTCAAGCATTTTATCAGACTTTTGCAACATTAGTGATTTTTGTTTGATTTCATCATTCAAAAGACCTTTTTGTCAGTTTTTTCATTCTTCAGTCTTATTTATTGCTTCAGCTAGGTCTTTAGAACTTTGTTCTAATTTTTCAATGACTTCAAAGTATACATGGGATGGTAATTATTTTGCCAAAAACGTAATACGTAATACGTAAATTATGAAATTAATTACGGGTGACGAAATTAATTACGGGTCACAAAATCAATTACGCGTGACGAAATCAATTACGAATGATGAAATTAAATGACACCTATCAGTCAGACAGGATTTCACACTTACTGATTTTACTATATGATCGACACATCACATTTTTCGTACAACAGACTTTAAAGGAAGAATTGAATGCAAGATTATTAACAAACAATTTTTACACTTTTAAATAAATACAATCTCGTACTTTTGCTCTTTTAAACACAACCTTTTATTTGTCAGTAACTTCTTTTGTTGTCCGGCAATGGCCTTTCAAAAAGACCCATACTTTTTAGCTTCAAAGACCTAATTCTTTATGAAAAACAACATTATAACAATCACTTTAGTGTGATAAGATAGGGTATATTGAGGGCTTTCAGAAAATATATGGTTCGTTTGGTTTTTACAGAAGAGGAAGAAACTAGAAGAAAAAAAAGTTTTTATAAGTTATTTATGACCTTTTTATATAATGTAATTTTATTTATTTTTTTCTTTTCACATTATTATATTGTATATAACTATTTTAGATGTACATCAAAGAAACAATTAAAAATAAAAAACGGTTTATAAGTTAATATAATTTTTATTTTTTTTTATTTTTTTTATAAAGGCAATATCCTGCTCATATAATTTTATTAGAATAAAGTAAATATAATAAAAATAATTCACAAAATAAATTCCAAATTAACTTTATATGAGGCTATTCCTCTTGAAAATAATTAAAAAGAAAATAT